TTTCAAAAGCAAAATAAAACATTGTGATGGATTTTAAAATTTCCTTTTAAAAGTCCTATCATAATAGCCTTAAAAAATGGACTGCTTATTGTCTGTCTACATCACTGAACTGTGAGCTTCCAATGTTTTACTTGTCCCTGTGACCCCTGTAACCAGAAAGAAAGAACTCAACAAATAGGCATTGAATGAATGATTTCAACAAGATAAAAAAATGGCAGTTCATTGGACATCTTAGGCTTCTTGGACCTTGAAACCAATCCATCCAGCTGATGGCTAAGTACATCCCTGATGAAGCAATTGTTTCATTCTGGAAAGTTTAAAAGAAAGCACAATGTTGTCCAATTGAATTATTCCTCCTTTGAAATAAAAGCAGTGCCACAACCCAATGGAAGTTCCCAGAGCCTTGTCTTCTGTCTGGACTCCCTTTGATAGCAATAATGGGCAGTAACAAACTGAGCCCTCACCCCATCCGACTGTGATAAACACATCCAAAACACATTACAAATCTCACAGTGAGGCTCTGAGGCCTGAGGCTGCTGCAAAAGAAAACCAAGGTTGACAGGCACAAGTTTAAGAACCCGATATCTTATAAATGAAAATGGCCTGCTGCCTGTCCCTTCACCACTGAGCATGGTAAATGTGTTATCTAGGCCTTCTGTCATCTTTCAAACCTGGGACTCTCTAATATCTGGACAACTCTAAACTTCATTTGTCAAAAAAAAAAAAAGAAGAAAGAAAGAAAAAGACTCCAATTTACTGAATCACAAGTGTTTCTTTGCCTTAAACTATTGAAAAATTTTTGAAGGTTTCATTTTTTTTCTGAAGTTATAGATTAGGAACATTTTTATCTTTCTGAAACACACATCTAATTAGGTTGTTCATCTCCTTAAAAGCTTCTCATGTTCCTCCATTACTTGATCAAGGTCCTGAATGTTTTCTTTTTTGGGTTTGTTTGCTTTTTTGTCTCTTCCTTATTCTGGGACTGGGTGCTGTCTCTTAGTTTTTTTTTTCCCCCCTCAAGTCTGGTGCACTACCACTTGAGCCACAGCTCTACTTCCAGATTTTTTGGTGATTGATGATGGAAGTCTTATGGACTTTCCTGATCCTCAGATCTCAGCCTCTAGAGTAGCTAGGATTACAGGTATGAGCCACTGATGCCTAGCCCATTTTCCTTTCTTTATTGAAGAAGGAAGTGTTTCACACTGTTAAGAACTCTGACCTTACCTTCCAGACTTAATAAATTCTTAAATAAACTCTTCTGTGAAGCTTTCCTCCTGGAGAGTAATTCATTCCTTCTCTATTTCCATAATATTCTGAGGTGCAGACTCAAGGACTCATGCTTGCTTGACCCCCTGAGTCACAGCTCCAGCTGGACTTTTAGCTGTTATTGTGGAGATCCAAACTGCAATTCTCCAGATCTCAGTCTCCTAAGCAGCTACATTGGCACCTAGCTCCCCACTTCCACAATAAATATCTACAGTGAACACCTAATGTGCTACATTACAGTTATTTAAACTTACATGCCCATCTCCTCTCCAGGTTAAGTCCTTTAAGAACAAAAATCATACCTTATTAATTGCTATTCGTCAGTCTGGTCCTTGCTACACAGAAGATATGTAATATTTGTTGAGTGAATGAACAAAGATAGACTCAGTTCCTATCCAATGGACCAAGATCTCTAATTCAATCTCCCGAAGGATTATAAGCTGCTAGAACTCTCTAATGGTGTTTATGGCCCCAAACTGCCTCTAACAAATGAACAGGCATAGAAGCCTGTTTGAAGCTAGACTCAAAGGTAACTCAGAAGGACCAGGAACCTGTGCCTCATTCTAGGAACAACCCTTTTGTGTTTAGCAGGCCAAAGCAACAGTGCTTCTTAGTGTGTGGGCAAGTGGGGATTGCTGTCTGTAAGCCTCTTTCCTTTCAGCAAGGGCTCAGAGTAGCTCTATTAGTGTTCATGGAAATTCTGCTCATGCATCAGGAGAAAACAGCCACAAATAACACAGCTGCCTTCCCAATCTTCCAAGAACATCTCTACAATCATTTTACTTTCTAGCTATCACCACCAAAGCCTTTCAGCCAGAAAGCAATTTGCTTCCAACTTACTCTAGGTTCCTAAGTTAGCAGAACTCTTTGGTTGGTTGTAAATGAAGCCCCTAACCTTTTCCTCTCTCTCCTGACTCCAGCTTCTCCTTATATAGCCTGTTAACACAAAGTTGACCAGTCCGAATTCATCTGATGCTCAGTACCCTTCAGAACTGGTCCTGGTCTTTGCCTTCCTCTGCTGCCTCATCCACAGCAACGTGTCCTCCAATCCAATCATGCCAGCTACCTTTGAGGTGTCTCCACTTCTAGGTCTGTGCATAGTCTGCTTTCTCTGTGGGTATTCACCTCAACCACCAACAAATCATTTCTGCTCTTGAATCACAAGCAGGTGTCATCTTCTTCAGGAAGGATTCCCAACTGGATTTGATGCTTTCAAACAGCATGCTGTTATCCAACTTTGCAATAAATACTTAGGAGGCCCAATTTGTACTAGGCTCCATTCCAGGTGCTAGAGATAGAGCAGGGAAGAAAACGAAAACAAAGACCACGTCTACAAAGAGTACATTCTTGAAGAGGGGAAGACAATGAAGAAATAAATAGCTGGGCATGCTGACACATACCTGAGATCTCTGCACTTGGGAAGCTGAGGCAGGAGGATCACACGTTTAAGGCCAGCCTGGGCTATATAATGAAACCCTATGTCAAAAATAAGAAAGTTGAAAGTGGAGCTGTGGCTCAAGTTGTAGAGCACCAGCCCTGAGTGAAAAAGCCAAGCCAGAGTACCAAGCTAAGTACTGGCACACACAAAAAGGAAGTTAAATAAGTAAATAAATAACTGTGCCAAGGGGTAATAAATACCGTTAAGAACAATAAAGCAGGATAAGAAGGTTTTGTGTTTTTTTCTTGTTTTGTGGTGCTGAGAATCAAAGAAACTCAGGGCCCTGCACATGCTAGGCAAATGCTCTACCACTGAACTATCTGCCAGCCCTAAAGCAAGGTAGAATATTAAAGACCATTTGGAATATTATTTTATTTAATCAGTGCAGGCATTTCCGATAAGGGCAAGAGAGATCTGAATTAACAGATACATGCAGATATATAGGGAAAGAACATTCTGGTCTGAATTATTTGTGTGTAAAACAGCAAGGGGCCAGTGTGACCACAGAGGCATGAGGAGCAGGAAGTGTGAGGAAGTGAATTCAAACGCTGCAGGGGCCAGATCATGGTGGGCCTTGTAAGGTCATGGTAAGGGATTACAATGGAAAAGACTCATTCTGGCTATTCTCTGGATAAGACGATGGGACACTATGAAGATCACAGGCATCTGGACATCCATTATTTTCACTACAGTGTTAACTGGATAGTATCACAGACAAGTACTACTCTAGGCACTAACCGTATGCAATGAGCCAGAAACCCTGATGGTAAGCTTACAATCCAGTAAGAACTAACCGAAGTACAACACACATATGTCTAAGATAGTACACAGTGAACTCTGTAGGAAAGGAGTTAGGTAGACAAGCATTTCTAAAGACACAGCATGTGAGCTCCACTGCTTCAAGAGGACACAGATTAGGAGGAGGTAAGAACAGAGAAGAGGGAGCTGGGTCAGAGACAGCCTTGCCAAGCAATGCTAAGGCATATGACAGGTGTGAGTCACCAACTTCTGGTGGGTTTCCATTGTGACGTCACTTAGTTCATACTGGAGGGGCAACTGTGGAGACAAAGGGACCAGGTAGAGGCCATGTAGTCATCTGGGCAAGAGGATGAAATCCTGAGCCGGTACTGCAGATAGAAAGGAGACAAGAGGCAGGCACCAGTGGCTCATGCCTGCAATCTTAGCTACTCAGGAGGCTGAGATCTAAGGATCACAATTCAAAGCTCAGCTTGGGAACTTAAATCTGTGAGACTCGGATCTCCAATAAAACTATCAAAAAGCTGGAAGTGGAGCTGTGGCTCAAGTGGTAAAGAAGCTCAGGGACAGTGCTAAGGCCCTTAGTTCAAGCCCCAGAACTGGTGCATGTGTATGTGCGCGCGCACACACACATACACACAAAGTCTAAATAAATTTAGGGAGCCAGGCATTGGTGACTCATGCCTGTAATCCTAACTACTCAGGAGGCTGAGATCTGAGGACTGTGGTTTGAAACCAGCCCATCAGGAACAACACCCAAGCTCTCAGTTCAAGCCCCATGACTAACAAAAACATACATACACACATACATACATATGTATATAAAAATACATACATTTAGGAAGCATTAGGACTCATCTGGCCACAGGAAGGAGATATGGGAGCTAGGCTGACACCCTCCCTCCAATGTTGGTTCCCAGCTACAGTGCTTGGGATGCTGGAACCAGTAACTTACAACACCTCTCTGAATCTCCTGTTCTCATCTTTAATTGAGCATTTCCTTTTTTGTTGAATGTTACCACAGTGGGAAGTGCTCCATTAGTATTCTAGCTGCAATGGTTACTAGCAGTGGGAAATTGAACAAGACAGTTCTGCTCCGTGAGCCTCAGGGTTTTAAGCGAAGCTACTGCTAGGTGTCCACCAGGTCTCATGGAATGAGAGCTCAGGAGATGGGTGAGTAAATCTGAAACGTGGGAACAATACCTACGTCATATAATAGGTAGGAACATTAAGCAGGGTTTAAAAAAAATTGAAGAAAGATTCATCTCAATCAACTATCTTGAGCAAGCAGCTCTTTGAAAGTAGCAGCCCCTTTTCTCCTCGCCTTGCTTTCCAACTCATCTCTTCTTTTCCTTAGCTTTTAATCTTCCTCTATTGCTTCCTTCTCTTTCGATGGCAAACATGCTCCCTTCTCCCCTAATCTACAAAAAGCATTCCTTGGGTCTAGCTACCTCCTGCAAACTCTTGTCCTGCTATTGTTTGGTTACACCAATTGTTCCTTTTCTCAACCCCAAACGCTTTTCAATGAAGAAAACATGCCTTTTGTTTTAAAATACACATCAGTTTATTATTATTTTTAAAAAGCAAATATCATTTACATAAATGTTTACAGGGCAGGCCCTATGAAAGTATTCCATTTTGAAATCTCTATGTATGTGTTTTTTTCAACAGCAGTAATTCATTGCAAGAGCAATTTCATTATGCATCTTCTACAGAGTCTTAGACTGAGAGCAGAAGTATTCAAATAAACCCGAGGTGCGGGGAAGGCTTCGGGCCAGTTCCTCATTAGAAGCCTCAGCATGGGGGCTCCGGAGACCAACGCAGAAGGTCTTCCAGGGAGAGCTGAACCACTCAGATAAGTGAGCTGTGGAAAGCAGGGCTAGTGCAAGGCTCTGGCAGGCTCACCCCTGGGGTAGAGCAAAGAGAACAGACAGGGAGTTCTGAGAGGCACCGGAGCTGTCTAAACTCAGGGGGATGGAACCGAGTGAGCAGCAGCGGTAATTGAGTTTCAGTTACCTGCAGGGTGGCGAAATAAAGTGGTAACTTCATCTGCCTGACATGGGAAGTTTAGAGGTGTCCTTGGCATGCTCACAGTGAAATCCATCACCCTTCCCCCGTGTTGGGTGATGGCAACCGTATGGCGCTTCCCAGTGACAGCCGGCGTGCGTCCTGTTAGGCAGCACCCGCGCACCGCAGCTAATGAAGCATGCTCCTGCAGGCCTGTCTCCCATGGCTCCCGCCTCCTGTCTGAAGGAATGGCACCATGGGAAAATTTAGCACAGCCAGTGCCCGCCGTCACCCAAACTCAAAAGAGTCTTTGAATGGCAAAGAGAAGCCCCTTTTCCTCTCTGCCCAGCCCAGGGTTGGAACGGTCCTGGGTCACTTTTTGTGGGTCTGTACAAACGTGCCGACCGGCAGTGAGCCGTTCTTCACCTGATCCCGGATCTCAGCTCGGTGCTTTAATGTGAAGACCAGAGCTCTCACCGTCCGCCGGTACGGCCCGTTAATGAGGCGGGAGCAGAGATGAAACGTTTCCCGCTCAATATTTTCAACCAGTAGGTGATCCATCTAAAAAACAGCAAAATTATCAAATTAGGGCCTTGCATTGCATAAGGATTAAAAGCAAGAGAGGCTGGAGCACTCTGCTCTGAGGCCTCCATTAATCAACTGAAATTCAAGGACATCTACTTCCTGTCACAAGAGAAACAGGAAGAGCAAATTAATTCCACCCTGGCAATTAAGGAACAAGGCCATGTGCTTTGTGACAGGGACCTCATTCACAACCCCTGCCGGGTGGTAATATTTGCCATTATAACAGGAAACTGGCCTGAACTAAGCAACCGGTACTGGGCTCTGTACTTTCCCAACCAGGAAACGAAGTCCGAGGATAATAAATCAGTGTAACAGTTTGTACTTCTTTTTGTTTTTCAAGTGCCTTTTAACCCCTTACAGCATTCTAGAAACAGTGGGCTAGGATCCTAAAATGTGTACAGGACAGGTTATAAATCACTTTGCACACTGAATGTTCATAACTCATATGATCACATGTGCTAGCTAAGGTTCAAGGTAAAGAGGTCAAGCTTCTTGAAACTACTACAAGACAGAGCTGGGATATGACTCAGACGCCGATTGACCTCCTCCATGTCAGCATAGGTCCTGGCAACCCACTGAATTTGGAGAGACCTCAGCAGACAGACTTAGTTATTAACAAAGCAAGCCTATGGGATGAGACCTGTAGCAATTCTGGGGACTTTGTCCACACAGTCTGTCCTACTTTCCTTTCCAGCCCCATCTCCTCCTCCTCCTCAATCCCATCCTGACTGTACAGTGTAACCACTATAACCTGCTGTCAGGCCCCTCTTTCTGTGCCTCTGCCTGGCACATGTTCCCTCAGCAGGGCACTCCTTTCCCTAGGAAACGTACTTCTGTGACTTTGTGTTAAAACCTAGGCAACACATGCATAGACACATACACACAGACACACAGAGAGCACAAAGGACAGGAGGTTTTTCAAGCTCCCCATAGCCATTGTTATATGTCATGCTATAATTATCTCTATTTGACTGCATCACCCCACCCCCAATAAGTTCTTTGAAAACAGGAACAGATTTTTCTCTCTTCCTTTGTTTCTCTCCTCCCACTAGGCATTATTCTACTATCTGATCAGCATTTACTATGCACCAAGCCCTGAGCTTGGGCGGAGGACCAAGCAGTGACCCAGGTAGGCCTGGCTTTGAGTCCAGGGGGAACCTCAGGTGGGGATTATAGGGGCACTGGCTGACAGCAAAGAGGAGGGGCTGAACAGTGAGGAGCAAGGCTCTAAGGAAGCCACCTGACCCAGGAGGCCAGCACCTGATTTTGGGAGGAGACTATATCTAGCTTGGGAGAGTGAACAGGAAGTGGCAAGCTGAAAAGGTATTTGTTTTGCGATAAATTCACCAAGATGGACGCCGTGTTTTATATACTATTATGCACATCTATTCTACTTCTATGTAAGAAGAAAAGATCAGGCTGGGTGCATGCCTTTAATTCCAGCACTCAGGAGACTGATGCAGGAGGACAGCAAGTTCAGGAGGAAGAGGCAAGAAAACTGAGAGTCTGAGAACAGCCTAGGAAACATAGTAAGACCTTGCCTCAGAAAGCACACCAAAAACAAAGGGTTACCTAACATTTGACATGTCCTTACATAGGAAAGAAGTAGGCAGAGAGAGAGAGAGAGAGAGAGAATTTTTAAAGATGTAAGGACCAAGCTGGGCTCTGGAGGCTCTGGTGGCTCATGCCTGTAATTCTAGCTACTCAGAAGGCTGAGATCTGAGGATTGCAATTCAAAGCTAGCTTGGGCAGGAAAGTCTGTGAAACTCTTCTCCAATTAACCACCAGAAAACCAGAAGTGGTGCTGTGGCTCAAAGTGGTAGAGCATTAGCCTTAAGCTGAAGAACTCAGGGACAGTGCCCAGGCCCATGAGTTCAAGCTCCACGACTGACCACACACACTCACACACACACTCACACACACACACACGAGTTCAAGCTCCACGACTGACCACACATACTCACACACACACACACACAGAAAGAAAGATGTAAGGACTAACAAGGGAGCAGAATAAGAGAGACAGAGAGAGACATACACAGAAAAACAGAGAGACAGGGAGACAGAGACAGAGAGAGAGGGAGGCAGGGAGGGAAGGAGAGAGAGACTCTGAGAAAGAGAACTCTGATGAGTATCCTGAAGTTCACAAAACTGGATACTCATACATACTCCATTCAAGAAAGAGTTGCTACTAGCTGGGAACCAGTGCCTCCTCATATTTGTAATCCTAGATACTATGAGGCTGAAATCATGAGGAATGGGCAGAAAAGTCTGTGTGGTACTGCATGCCTGTTATCCTAGCTACAGTCCAGGCAAATACTCAGGTGGGAATCCAGACTATCTACAAAATAATCAGCACAAAAAACAGGCGGGAGGCATGTAGATTGACTATCCAGCAAGCATGAGACCATAAGTTCAAAACTGGGAACTGGAGAGAACAAAAATTGCCACAATGTCTGGTCTGATATTGGAGACACAGTACATAAAAGACCTGACCTCTCAGCCTAGAGGGGACAGAGTATACAAGAAAACTGTAGGCCACAGACCGGGGAGAACAGGGGCATCAAGAATTTTTGTCATGCTTCCTGCTAAATGATGGCCAATCAGTGAAGAAATAAATCACAAAGGAAAATGATTCATTATACATTATTGTGTGTAACAAGTTCACTGAATGCAGTAAGGAACACCTCTAGGTGACCCAAACTTGCCCAAGATGACGAACCCTTTCCAGTGGGAGCTAAATTAGTGCTTTAAGGAAGTGCTTTAGGATGAAGAGACCAGTGTCTGACTGAGACTGAGAAAAGAGGTTGTTGTGAGGCACTTGTGGGAATAGGGCTCCTAGAAAGGAGTTTAGGGGTTTCCTGCATTCAGTGACCAGATCTTTTTTTGGTATTTCATGAGCTGCCTGGTCTCTTTTTTACATGGTTTCATATTGCTTTTGCTTTTTCCTTGGCCTTACTACCAATCCCAACTGTTGCCCCTTTCCCTCCCTTTAGTCTATCCATCTCCCCACCTACAAAACCCGGTCAAACTCCTTGTTTCCTGTTTCAGTACCAAATGAAATTTGCTTTTCTTATCTATTGTGTCTACGTGTTATTCAGTTGTTCAATGCTGAACAAGTGGCTGGCTATAGCTGGAAGAAGATATAAAACACAACCACCTAGGGCTGTCCTTCATTAAATAATAGACTTACTAGCCAGGCACTCGCTGATGGCTCATGCCTATAATCCTAGCTACTTAGGAGGCTGAGATTTGAGGATTGTGGTTCAAAGCCAGCATGAGCATGTGAGACTCTTATCTCCAATTAACCACCAGAAAACTGGCAGTGGAGCTGTTGCTCCACTCAAAGTGGTTGAGTGCTAGCCTTGACTAAAAGCTCAAGGACAGTGTCCAGGTCCTACAACCAATAAAAAACAAAAGAGAATGGAACTTACCATAACTACCATAACTAAAGTGACTCAAGTGGTAGAGAAAAAAAAATAAACAAGAGCATCAGGCCCTGAGTTTAAGCCTCAGTACTGGCATGTACATGTACATGTGTGTGTGCGCGCACACACACCCACACCTCCCCCCCCACATACACAAAGAAAGAGACAGACAGGGAGAAGAAAGAGAAGAGGGAAACAGGGAAAATGAAAGAAAGAAAAGGAGAGACAAGCAAGAAAAAGAAAAGGAAACTATCATAATCAGTGTAGCTATAAGCTCTTTAAACACAAGGGAACAAGGTCTTTGTATGTTTCTCTGTAACTATGCATTTGTCTAGCTTCCTTAGAAGACTGTGAGCACCTCTAGAGCTGACACCATATACTGGATCCATTTCTAAGTTTTCCATACCCAGCCTAAGTGCTGACACATCGTAAGTGTTCAATAAATATCTGTCAGATGTATGTCTTTTCTCCCCATGCATACTCCCTCATTTCCTACTGTTTCAAACAATGTCTACCACCTCTTCCATGAAGTTTCATGATCAGCTCAGTCTTAATTGCTTCATACTTGGTGTTTCTAATATGATTTGCTAGCACCACTATTTCAGACCCCATCACATTTTTATTAGTCATTTACAGGTTCTAAGACAACAGAATAAGCTTTCTTAGAACAAAGTATGCAACTTGACTGTCTGCAATATCCTCTAGCACCTTAGTAGATCCCCACCAAACATTTATTGAATTAAAATATCCACTGGAAGCAAACTTTGAATGGGTTTTCTGATCATCTGATTAGGTTTGTATATATCTATCTACACTTCTTTTTGACCACTTGATAACATTTATGAGAGAGCTGGTCAAAGCCAGGGGTGCAGTCCGAAACCATTAAACAAAGGAAAAACTAATAGTCCCATATGAGAACGTCCCCCTGACCTGGATCTCATTAGCACCATCTGACAACCAACTGCGCTAACCAGCCAGTGTTTCATAACTCTTAATGATACAGGCTCACTTTGAGAATCAGGTTCATTTTTTTTTTAATGACATAATAGGAAAATGATCACAGGCCAAGAGGTAGGAAGGAGAGTGGATAATGAGGAAGGGGAAGTAAGAGAATGACACCACAGGGGATGTTCATGGGAGGAAAGATCTAAAGGACAAGGAAGAACAAAGATGATCCAGAAGGGAGAAAGAGGAAGGGAGCCTGGGTTTCAACGATAGAGTTTTTATTCATCTGTTCTATTATTCCAAGAACAAGGAAATAATCCATGAATTTAGAAAGCAAGATCTATAAGGCAATAAAGAAATGAACATTTGGCTGTGTGCATATTCTTCATTGGTGGTATTCACTATTAAAGGATATAACTGAAACAAATAAAATGGAAACATGTTTTTCTATCAAAAAATGGAATGAGTAGATTATGGTATTTGCAAAAAACACATGCTAAGATCAAACTGTAAAGTCCTGTCAGTCACTGTGCCAATAACTCACCTGTGGTTCAGTACTGCCTGATAACACGAACGTTTATGGAAACTCAGTGTCTGATTTGAATACACCCAATATTGGTTATGGCCAAAGACAAGAAACTGGATTAAATGGTTCACTGATTTACCCTAATATGGAAATGTCTCATAATGATGGGTGCTAGGGTAAAAATGTTTGTATATTTAGTAAAATTGTTTGTGTTTATATTTTCTGACATGCCATACAAAAATATCACTAAATGCTGCTTGTGCAAGGAAGAGCCATCAATTTTTCTTTTGCCAAGGAAGATAGTAAGATACATATTAAAAAAATTAATTTAGGACCTAAACCAGTCAGTTATGCTTAATCTGATCTTTCCCCCAATTAAGTTGGAAAGCACTAACGAATGTATCACTTTTTTAACTTTGCTTTGTAACACTTGAGTGCTTACCACTTGATGTGCCATTTAAGGGATAATTAATGGATAAACTAAAAGGATAATTATTATGGAGTTTAATATAGCAGGCAAACTGCTCATTAATTCTTACAAGCATGGCTTCGTTATTATCATTTACTTAAAAAGATACCACAGGGAACTGATATTTACCACCACATTAGCTACATATTAGATACCCACAATGTATGCGCAGTAATTTTAGTTTATTTCAAAAATAAACTTTATTTAAAATAGCAAGTCTGGCTAATCAATACTCTGGAAAATTACTTACAACTTTCACATTTTCCCCCCCTCTCTTTAATTCATATTGAAGTTTCCTTTAGGAATCCACTGAACTATCAAGAAGACATTAAAAATCATAAACATGAAAAACAAAGACATATAAACAAGGATACACAAAATGACACTAATTGAAATTGATCAATATTCAAGAGACAACACAAACGTAAATAATTATGTCAATTTTCTGCATTATGATTAACATGATCAATAAAAAGTATTACAGAACATCTGATACATAATTCACTCTAAATAAGCCTTGGATAATCATAATTTGCCCAGCATTTCTTTAAAATGCTGTAATAATTCACCGAAAAAGATTATGTCTGGGTGATAGGTTTAGTGATTATTTTTTTTCTTTTCCTTTCTGCACTTTTCTCATTTTCTTGTTTTAAAAACCCAGTACCTTATTTGGTATATATCAAACTCCAAGTGATTTTCTTTTGTAGATAAATAATTGAGATAGAAAGATTAAAAAGGTTGGTTTGTTATTTTTTTGAAGATATAGTAGTAATAGCTAGAGATGTAGCTCAAGTGGTAAAGGACTTTCTAGCATGTACACAGCAGTGCAGAAAAACAAAAACAAACTTCTCTAAGAATGTATGGTATCTAGCACTTAAATCAGACTTCTGAATTCCATTGTTAGTAATACTAAATTATACTTTAAAAGTATTTCAATAAGGATATTTTGGAGTATGATGGGGAAAGAAAAAAATAAGTATGGTACATGTCTGATTTTTCAGGTACTAACTACTTTCAAGATTTGTTATTTGATAATGACTAATATTATTGTTAATGAGCAAAAATCCTCTGTCCACTATATATATATATATATATATATATATATACACATCTCAAACCACTAATATTATGGAAATTTCTGGTAATGGAGATGATAGGGAATATGTCTATCTAATTCATTTTGGTTTTTAAATTTATTTTTTCTTTTTTTTCCTTTTGTCAGTACCTGATCTTGAACTCAGGGCCTTGTGTTTGTGTCTGGCTTACTTACTCACAGCTGGTGCACTACCACTTGAGCCATGCCTCCAGCCTAGCTTTTTGTTGATTAATTAGAGATAGTCAGTTACTCAGATTTTTCTGTCCAGGATGGCTTCAAACTGTGATTCTCCAAGTCTCAGCCTCCTAAGTAGCTATGCTTATAGGCATAAGCTACTAGCTCAACCCAAATCTTGGTGGTTCCAAAGCCTCTCTCCCAGAATCCTTAAAAGAATTACCTATTAGAATAAGACTACAGTGTTAAGATTGAAAGTTCATGAAAAAAAAAAAGTTTAACCAAGAGACCCTAGTAATTACACTCCAATTAGTATATTACCTTTAATTCCAAGGCTTCTGAAAGTAATTTCTGGGCATTTTTTCTAAATGACTCAGTTTTGGGATCACTTCGAACTTCAATAGGAGGTCTATCCAAATGTTTTTCAATGAAAGTTTTCCACTCAGTATAAACTTCTTTGGCAAGACTAGCCACCTCTGAATCTGAGTGTTTACGCATCTTGTTCACAGCATGACCTGGAACAGAGGAGAGAAACTGTCTTCTGAAAAGCACAGGACTAGATGAACTGGTGTGTCCCTTACATACCCAAGGACGCAAAGGCTCCTGTGCAGAATCAGACATGTTTTCACAAATTAGACAACCTGTGGGAGAGAACCAGGACTGGCCAGTGTAATATCAATAGATTCTTTAAAAAAAACTAAGAGGTACTAACTCTTTAGGTCAAAAATTTCAAAGAAAATGAGCTAATCATTTTCTGTGGGGTTTTTTTGGTATGTATTACATTACAGGACAACAAAACAACCCTAGGTATTAAAGGAAAATTCTTTATTTAACTAACTGATTGAAAAGAAATAAAAAATTTTGTAGCCCCTGATGAAGTAATTCAACTCAATGGAAGGTTGATGAGGCACCTTCAGAGGGATGAACTGTTAGCACCTAAAAGCTGGCTATGGCATAAAGGAAGTGCTTGACAACTCTGCCTGTAAAGCAGTTCTACAACCTCCCCCACAGAAAAAGCGGACCACAATCCAATTAGCCATTCAAAACTAACCTCCAGTCAGGAAATATGAGAGACAGGGATAAGTTAAAACATCATTATGAAGAAACAAAGAAGTTTAGAATGTGGAACATTCTACAGCACAGCAGACATGTTTTCAATAGTCAATGGCTTTGTTTACAAAAGGGGCTTAGGGCTAGAGACTGCTAAAGATTAAAAGAGCCTTCGGAGTCCAAACTACCAAATGGGATGCAAATTCCTACTGGAGCCATTGAAAGATATTCTGAGATAAACAAGAAATAGGACTTTGCAATAGATATTAAATTATATCAAGGAATGATTGTTAATTTTTTTAAAGACAAAAATAGCATTAGGGTTACCTAAGAAAACATGTGAAATTTGGCCTGGTGGATTGGTAGAGTGCTTGCCTAGCAAGGGCAAGGCCCTCAGCTCAAACCCCAGTACCATCCATAGCTTTTAGACACACAAACTCAAGTATGTTGGCCCCAAAAGACAAAAGGTTTAAGACCTGGCTTTAAAAAATACTTCAGTAAACACCACATACACAAAAGAGAAAGATGAAATGGGACAAAAAGGGACTATGGGAACTTGTTAAAGTAGTGAGTTTATTTCTACGTCTTTCTGTATAGAAAAAAGGGAAGTATAAAAAATATCAATATGCAAAAGTACCTCAACAAAAACAAGTACCTAGAAAAGCCAGAGAAATGCTGCCTGAACTAGTGGAAATCACACAGTACCAAGTAACACACTAACAGCAATGGGATGAGAACATGACAGGGGCTAAAGGTATATGGTGTAGGGGGCGAGTTTGCCCACAGTGCACTGGGTTCATATATAGACATATCACACAGAAACCCATTAATACAAATGTATGCTAACTCAAAAATAAAATGAAATAAAGAAATATTTAAGCCAGGCACCTGTGGCTCAAGCCTGTCTGTAATCCTAACTACTCAGGAGGCTGAGATCTGAGGATCATAGCTCAAAGCCAGCCTGGGCAGGAAAGTCCATGAGACTCTATCTCCAATTAACCATCAGAAAACCAGAAGTAGCACTGTGGTTCAAGTGGTAGAGTGTTTGCCTTGAGCTGAAGAGCTCAGGCAGTTCCCAGGCCCAGAAAAAAAAAATTGACGGAAAAAAATTAATTAATTTAAATAAGAACTATTGGGGCTGGGAAGGTGGCTCAGTGGTAGAGTGCTTGCCTCACATGCATGAGGCCCTGGGTTCGATTCCTCAGCACCACATAAACAGAGAAAGCTGGGAAGTGGCGCTGTGGTTCAAGTGGTAAAGCACATAAACAGAAACAGCCGGGAAGTGGTGCTGTGGCTCAAGTGCTAGAGCGCTTGCCTTGAGCTAAAGAGCTGAAGGACAGCTCCTAGGCCTAGAGTTCAAGTCCCACGACCAACCAAAAAAAAAAAAAAAGAACTATTTAAAGATCTATTTGAAGATGCTTCCTAGCTACCAATGCTGAGGAAAATACTTTTGATACATACGCCACTTAAAAGCAAATTTACTGCTGAATACTTTCCTTTTCTGGGTAGAATTTTCCATATCCTGGAGATTATTCACTCGGCCAATAGCATTTGTAGTTAACTACTATTTCAGATGGTAATAACAAAGATAAGATTGGGGGTATAACTCAGTTATAAAGTATGTGCTTTATATATTTGAGAATTTAGATTTAATCCATAGCATCAAAAATAAATAAACAAGGGCTGGGAAGTTGGCTCAGTGTAGAACGTTTGCCTTGCATGCATGAGGCCCTGGATTTGATTCCTCAGCACCACATAAGCAGAAAAAAAAAAGCCGGAAGTGGTGCTGTGGCCTCAGCTGAAGAGCTGAGGGACAGCACCCAGGCCCAGAGTTCAGGCCCACAACCAGACCCAAAAAAATAAATAAATAAAATTCAAAAAATAAATAAACAAAAGATAAATGTTATTATAGGACTTGAAAGTCCTAAATTCAGGGTGCTGTAACACTTTTACTGAGCATCTACTTCATGCCTGGTACTCAGGACACAGAAATGATTAATACTCAATCCTTGGACTTTTGCCAACATTTATTCTGAAGGGTGCAAAGAAGACAGAAATATTCACCTTAGTACAGTTTGAGATAGTAAAAAAAAAACACACAACAACAACTAGAAACAACCTACAAGCTCATCATTAAGCGTCTACTCTGCACAGAAAAAAAGAGTATAGTCCATTGAAACATTAACTGCTATGTTGTCATTAAAAACAGGAATAGGAAATCAGGTGTGATGGCACACACCTGTGATTCTTACTCTTGAGAGACTGAGGCAAGGAGATTATTGAGTTTTAGGCCAATCTGGGCTTAAGCAAACAAACTCTGACTCAAACAAACAAAAACTAAATGCTGGAATAGTTCTACATGCAGTAACATGGAAAGACGATCACTGTGTTTAAAGAGCATGCTCATTATGTGCCAATATTTACTTTTAAAATTACATATGTGTATACATGTAAACACCATATTTGTTTATAAGCAGAGAAAAAAAAGCCTTAAAGAATTTATAATAAAATTATTAACAGAAGAGTCGCTTCTGAGTAGTGGGACCATATGCATCTATGCAGTTCTGTTCACAATCTAGTGGCTAGCCTAGCTAAACATCTAATAGCTTGTGCTGTTCTGTAATAGAGATACATCCAGGGTTCTTTGGAACAGAGCTCCTTCCCATCATGTAATCCTTACCTTATCCTTTTATTTTCTCTCTGGAAAGGCACTGTTGACCCAGTTTAATATATGTGAAATAAGGATGTGGAGAGTCCTCATGCAGAGTTCTTCTTACCAAATCCAGTAAACCTTCACCGTCCTGCCATTGCTTATCCTGTCTGCATATAACACTGTTGCCTCATCCTTCAGAAATATTCTCTTCCTTCCTTGATGAGACAATACCTGTACTGGTACTGTTCCTTCTCTACCTCTTCTGCTGGCTGCTGATCCTTTGCTAAACATTTAATTAAAGAACTTCAACTTGGGACTGTACTTGGCCTTCCCTTCCTTTACCTGCCTTGCCTGGAGTAATCCTACCTACACTGGTAGTGCAACCTCTACCTACAAGTAGATGTCTTCTAACTACTTAACTTCTAGCAAAAGTTTCCACTGAGTACAAGACTCAAATACCCAATTCTCACTGCACATGTCCACTTGCTTATTCCACATGCCCTTCTAACTCAGCATTTCCTGTCACACAGTGAAGCATCCTTCTGCAATCCACAATTTCTCTCATCCTATGTTCATGCAGTCATTCCAAGACATACAGATCTACTTTTTTGTGTGTACCACTACTGTGGCTTGAACCCAGGATCCCATGATCTCCCCTGACTTATTTGTTCACAGACGGTACTCTACCACTTGAGCCATGCCTACTATCTAGCTTTTTTTGCTAGTTAATTTGAGACAGAGTCTCTCTGACTTTTCTACTGGCTTCAACCACTCAGCCACCTGTGTAGCTAGGATTACAAGCATGAGCCCCAGTTCTTTTTTTTAAATATCAGCATAGATTAATTTTACAAAGGGGTTCCTTTGTGTTATTTTCATACATGCAAATATTGTACTAAATCACATTCACTCTCTCTTTTACTCTCCTATCCATTCTACCTCCTTTTCAAACAATTTTATTTTCAAACAATTTTATTTCCATGTAAGCATATATGGTGCTTTGATCACATCCCCCACTTCCACTGGGGGTTTTGGGATTTCCACCCACCCCCAAACAGTAACAGTCCCTAGTCCCCATTTTATACTTAAACATTTTTATTTTATTTTTTTAGGTCTAGATTGCATACATGAGAGAAAACACACAGTATCTGTCTTTCTCAATCTGGTTTATTTTACTTATAAATGACCTCCAAGTTCCATCCATTTTCCTGCAAATGATATAATTTCATTCTTTATGGCAGCAGACCCACTTCTTATCATTCTCTACATCCTTTACTCTTCCTCCTCATTTCCCTCTCCTTCTTACTGCCCTGATTCAGATTCTCCTCATTCTCTACTGGTCTACTGCAGCAGTTTACTGAACAATTTCTGTCTGCAATCTGGCCCTCTCCAATTCATCCTCAACACTGAAGTCTGTTTTAATGACTGTTTTAAGACAGTTTGACAGGCATGAGGATATACATCGGTGGAAGAGAGTTTGTCTAATGAATGTGAGGCCCTGAGTTCAAATTCCAGCATGGGGGGGGCAGTGGAGGAGTGAGGAAGGAATGGGGGAGGGGGAAGGGGAAGGAAAGAGGAGAGGAAGAGAGGGAGAGAATAGGAACTGGATCACATAACATACTTACTTAAAACCCCTCAATGACTCTCCACTGCCCTTAAGCCAAATGTATCATTAAAGCTCTGGATGTTCTGGGCCTTCTTGTCATTACCTCTTACATGTTGCCCTCTTTCCTTCCTCCCCACGTTCCTAGTCCATCCACAAGCTTTTCTCCATGAATTAAGTTCTATCTATAGAAAGCACCTTGTATGTCTGTT